GGGCCGAGGATGGGGTTACCTGGGCGGGCCCAGCGGCCCGGGACACCCCCCGGGGGCGGGCCGGAGCAGCGGCGGCAGCGGCCGCCCTAGCCCGCGGGACTGGGCTGCTCCGGGGCCTCCCCGGCTGGGCGCCCGGGAGGACTCAGGGCCGAGCCCGCTCCGGGCACGCCCGGCTGCGCGCCGCCTAGGCCGGCCCGGAGAGAGGCGCGGCGACCCAGCTGCGCGGTCCCCGCCCGGGCCTTGGGGACAGGCGGGCACAGCTCCCCCAGCCCGCCGCTGCGGGCACTGCACCGCGGCCCTCGCTGTCCCCCTTCGCCCTCCGCCGGCGCCTCGGAGCCCAGATCCTGCCCGACCGACCCGAGCGTGGCTGCCACTCGCGCGCGCCCAGGCGCTTGCGCTCCAGGCATCGGGGCAGCGCACCGGGGCGCTTGGTGCCGCCCGGCCGCCCCCCGCCGGGCCCCCCCTGCCTCCTGACCCGCGCGTTCTGCAGCCCAGCTCTTCTCTGGCGCTGATCTCGCTCCAGCCTTCCGGGAGCTGGACCGGGCCTCCCCAGCTTTGGGCAGCTTGGGACAGTGGCCCGAGACTGAGGGAATCCGAAACCTCGCTTCTGGCTAGCCACAAGCTCTGGGCGCGCCCTGAGCCGCAGGGTCCTGACTCTCCGAGCCTCCGTTTTCTCATCTGAGAAGTGGACTTAGGACTCCGGGGTCAGGAGGATGGAAGGAGCTTAGGGAAGGTCTCATTTTTAGCACACCCACCAAGTCTTGCTTTGCTTTTGGTTTTCTGTGTGCTTGTTTTATTTATCCTTCCATACCGGGCAGATTCAGCCTCCTGCTGGTCTCCGGCACAGAGGGGGCGGCTGCCATGTTTGTGGAAGGAATGAATGAGTGGAATGGAATGGGCCGCAGCGGGCCTGTGCCTGGCGGGTCCTGAGAGCCGAGTCCACACCACAGGAACCGTGATAGGTGCCTGCCCAGCCAGGCCACACCCTCTCAGGTCACTGACCTGATTCCGTGTTCCTTCTCACCCTGCCTCAGGCGGCATACCCCAGCTACTCAGAGCTAGAAGGATCTCTGTCTAAACAGGGAAACTGAGGCCCAGAAAGGGGCAGGGACCTATCCTACTCACTAAGGGCTGGGGACAGAGGCAAAGACCAGGCTTATGCCCTTACCCCGACCCTGTGCTCTTTTCTGATTTTGAAGCATGAGGTTTGCTCCCCAAGATCACCATGCTTGGGTGCTGGGATGGTGCCCTTCACCCCATGAGGTCCCCGGGGGTTCAGCACAGAGGAGGGGCTCAGTAAACATTTGGTATTGGGACTGGGCAGAAGGTGGCAGGGATTTGTGGGCTGGGCAAGAATACAGATGGAGGTTCACATACCATATGTCTAAATATTTGCAGGTTATAAATCAAGCTAACAAAATGCGGAATAAAGTATGCTCTATGGCCTCAGAAAAAGCAGAGGGTAAAATCCAAGGAGAAAAAAAAGGTAAAAGAAAATATGCTCCATTCTTCTACCTTGACAAATGCAGTTTCATAACAACGTGGAAGGCCGACTTTGAGTGCAGAATTCTCAGACTCCCCAGACCCTGCACTGGAGATGGTGGCATAGGCAGAGGGCCCCGTGCCTGCCTGAGCCCCCACCCGCTGCCTTTTCCCGCCTCTGCCTCTGTCCTGCCCTTCACGGAGTCTTGTGCATGCAGGCGAACATCTCGGCTTGCTCTTGCAAGCTCTGTCCACCCTCCCACTGCCCACCCCACCCTGAGGGCTGCCCCTTGGTCACCCCTCAGGCTTAGGGCTGGCTACGCCAGGGGCGCACTCTGTCCTCAGGTGCTGCATCTGGGGAAGAGACCACACAGGTCCTGGAAGTGGACCAAGGGCCATCAGTGCAGGGGATGGCAGGGGCCTGGGTACCCAGAGTGTGCTCTAGTGGAGGCAGCACAGCCTCTGGGTGGTCATGTCCCTTTGCCCCGTGGTCTCCCCTCCCTGTGGTGAGTGGTTAGCCGGAGGAGGGCCAGAGTGTGGGGTCCCCAGGGCAGGGGCTACGCTCACCTGGGTCTAAGGGTGGTACTGAATTGCTGAGTATTTTGAGCCAACATATTCACTTCCTGGAGACTCAGTGAGGTATGGTAGAAAATAAATAATAATAATAATAATAACTTAGATAGCGACAGGCAATTATTTTAGGATGGCCATATAATTTTCTTCCAAACCAAAATGTTTTAAAGAGTGACAGGGCTCTAGCTGGAAGGTTTGCTGGGGTATCAGGCATACGCCAGGCCACCTGGGATGTGTGGTCCTGCTCACGTTTTGAGCCCTTGTGTGCGGGCGTTGTTCTCAGTGCCTGACGGGCCTTCACTCATTCGATCCTTGCAACAAATCTAGGAAGTAGGTACTGTTATTGCACCTATTTTTACAGACATGGAAACCAGGGTGACTCGCCTAAGGGAAAGTGGTGGACCTGGGACTCCAGAGCCATGTCCTCAGCCCCCATGCCACCCTGAACCTGGTACTGTGGT